ATATATATATATTATATATATTTGTTACATATATGTCATATAATATATACAATATTTGTATGTGTCACACATAATTGTACATATTCTGATAGTATTCATTTTTGGAATATTAAAAGTTCTCTAATAAAATTAAGTGTAATTTTGGAATTGTTTTGTAATAAAAGAAATATTTCTTTTTTGTTAATCTCCAGCTCATTTGATTGACCCTAATTATTATATATCTTATAGACATCACAGTAAGAAGTTCAATCCTTTAATCTACTTTGAATTTATCTTGCAATAGTGACAAACTGACGTGTGTTTGATAATGCATTTTTTTTAATTAACCGATAATTGCATAATAATATAGATAAGATAGTAAATTACATTTTTCAGATAATATCTTCCCTCTCACAGATACGACCTTGATGGGAACGGGGCCTGAGGATATATAAAAAGGAACGATTTTTCTTAAATATCTAAAAAGTTTAGGATCTATCTGAATTATATGTACGTCTAGTAAAGATAAATTTTTAGATACTTGAATAAAATCGTTCTCTATATGTAAAAATCCAACGACGGAAAAGCTATAACGTACCCAGATAACATTCAGAATATATAGTAAAATTAGAAATAAAAATAAATAAAAATAAATAAATAAAAATAAATATATAATAACACATATACTTACCCGCAAAAATAGGCTATGTATACACAGTTTTTTTACAAGTATATTTATAAAGAAAAAGAGGATCGTCGATAAAATTGGCTGGATGGTAGAGAACTTTTAGCTCGTTCTTGCAAAATGAAACCTTAAATTGACAATGTATGATTGGAAAAGTTTAAAATATATTCAAGATCTCTATAATTATTAATAACTATAGGTATATTTAGTAAAAACGGGCTAATCTGCATTAAAAAGACATAATTTCATAATTCCATTTTTATGTAGACGCATATTATAAAACAAAATTCACTAAATTAACTTGTTTAAATATTCAGTTTTAAGTTTCTTAAAATTCAACAATTTTTATTTCTATATTAGAAGATGCAAAATTAAAATTTTCGTTCAAGAACTCATTAATAAATATCTCTTGTACTATTAAAACATTTATTAAGTAAAAATATAAACATTCTTATTGCAAAATCAGAATTCAGATTTTCTTGAATTATCTGCAAATTTTGTGTTCATATGTATGCATTTTATACTGTCTTTTATTGCCCTTATTCATAATCTTATGTTCTTATTTTAACTTCTTAAGTAATGTTTTAAGATGCTATTACTCTTTTCTAATTAGCTTATGATATTTTAGGATTGCATTTAAGATGGTCTAAAATATAAGAATCGACTATGAGTACCGGTCTATGAGGTGATTTATTTTGATTTTGTGTTTCATTTTTTACTAAGAAAGATGATTCTCCTCTAAAATCATGTTTTAAAGTATTATATGATGTTTCAGTTAATATCTTCTTAATTTTAACAATATCTAGTAAATTTTTAATGTGATTATTTTTTCGTCTTACGGCAATTCTTGATATTTTTAATTGTTTGTCTTTTGTAACTAATTTTCTTTTGAATTTTTTTCTTTGTTTTTCAATAATACGTCTCAACTTTGCTGTTTGATATTGTAATTTTTTTTCAAAAACATTTGCTTGAACTTGTATTTTTTCTTCTAAATTTATTTGCAAATATTGTAATTTATTTGTTAATTCTTCATTGTTCTTTTCCAATTTTTGAATTTTCATCTTCATCTCTTGAAACGTGAGTACATCATTTCGCTTCAATATTTCACTTGTATTTGTTTCATCTGTAACAAAAGTAAATAAAAATTGCAAACAAAAATAAAAATATTATAACACATATAATGAATTCGATTACTCGCACTACATTGAATCAGTGCATATTAAAAGCTAATTTATAAAGTATTTCAACGCAGTGATACAATATAATCAACTTTGACAATAAAATAATACATACATATATTTGTATCACGCAGTGATACAATATAATCAACTTTGACAATAAAATAATACATACATATATTTTATTAAATAATGTGACAATATTAGTAAATAGTTAATCATTTAAAATATTTATATACTTTTACATTTAACTTTGCTAATTTCATGAAAAATACCTTTCAGTATGCACTGATCTAGCGTAATGTAAGTGCCGAATTCGCTAATAGATATATATAAAAACATATCTCTGTCTAGCTTACATATAGAATTTTGTATTTCATCTTCTTCTAACTTCGGAATGAATTTGATTTCTATCTCTTCTTTATTTAAACTTATTTGCTTTCTTACTTCATTTATAATTGTTTTCACTTTTTCTACGAAAATGAACAAGAATTGTTAACAAAAATGAAAATAACACTGTAATTTTTTAAATGTAATTTTTAAATGTAATTTTAATATGTACCAGCTAACATTAAATATTTATGAAATATTCATAAAAGGTTCCTAAAATAAAAAAAACATTCCAAAAGTATTCTGGAATATTAATTTACAGATTTTAATATGTTCATTCAACATTATTAAGATCGTTTCAAAGATGCGAATAAGTATCAAAAATTTGTTAAATTGCTAGTCAATTTAACTCGTGATATTATTACGATAATTTAGTAGAGTTAGCGTTTCAGATCGAAAAATCATTTCGTCGCGCATTTCTACGGATTACATACATAATATATAAATTCATACAAGCATTAAGATCCAGCTAGACTATTGTTTAAAATTTTAATTTCTATAGTTTGTGTTATTATACATACGGTCTTATATTATATTGTTTGTCCCAAAATAATTATGGAATGTTAAAATAATATCATTCAAATATCTGTTAAAAATTTCTGTTCCCTTAAATAAAAAAAAACGCAGAATATATATTGTATATATATTCTACGTAGAATATATATTGTATATATATTCTA